AATTTCTTTCAACAATGTTTTATAGTTTTTGGTGTATGTCTTATACTTCTTTTGTTAAATTTATTCCTAAGTAATTCATTCTTTTTTGATCCTATTGTAAATGGAATTGTTTTCTTAGTTTCATTTTCAGATTGTTCATTGATAGGGTATAGAAATATAGTTGAATTTTACATACTGATCTGGTATCCTACAACCTTGACGAACTTGTTTATTAGTTCAAATAGTTTTTTGGCTCATTTTTTTTATTATCTAAATACAAGATCATGTCATCTGTAACTACAGATAGTTTTACTTTTTCCTTTTCAATCTGGATGTCTTTTCTTTTTCTTGTCTAATTGCCCTGGCTAGAAATCTTTTTTATTTCTGTAAAATCAGTAGTAATATTCTCTCTTTATTCCTGATATTAGTATTTTGAGTCTTCTCTCTTTTATTCTTGGTCAGTCTATCTAAAGTTTGTCAATTTTGTTGATCTTTTCAAAAAACTACTTTTTGGTTTCATTGGTTTTCTCTATCATCTCTCCTTTCTCTATTTAATTTATTTACAGTCCAGGTTCCTTCTTTCTGTTGGCTTTGGGTTTAATTTGCTCTTCTTTCTTCAGTACTTAAGGTGGGAAATTAGGTTATTGATTTGAGATCTTCTTTTTTAACATAAGTGTTTACAGCTGTAAATTTCCCTCTAAGCACTGCTATAACTGTATCCCATAAGTTTTGGTATATTGTGTTGTTATTTTTATTAATCTCAAAGTATTTTCTAGTTTTCCTTATTTTTTTCCATAATCAGTTATTTAGAATTTTATTGTTTAATTTCCACATACTTTTAAAATTCCCAAATTTCTTAGTGCTATTGATTCCTAATTTCGTTCCATTGTGGTCAGTGAGCATACTTTTTATGGTTTCAATCCTTTTAAATTTTTTAAGGCTTGTTTTATGACTTAACATTTGTTCCCTCCTGGAGAATGTTTCGTGTGCACTTGAGAAGAATGTGTATTCTGCTGTTGTTGGGTGGAACTTTCTATAGATATCTATTAGGTCTAGTTGGCTTATAGTGTTGTTCAAGTCTTCTATTTCCTTGTCGATCTTTTGTCTAGTTGTTCTATCCATTATTGAAAGTGGATATCAATGTTTCAAACTATTCTTGTTGAATTGTCTATTTCTCCTTTCGATTCTGTCAATTTTTACTTCATGTATTTTGGGGCTCCATGTTGTCTTCCTGATGGATTGACCCCCCTTTATCATTATAAAGTGCTCTTATTTGTCTCTAGTAACAATTTTTGTCTTAAAGTCTATTTTGTCTGATATTAGTATAGCCACTCCAGCTGTCTTTTGCCAGTGTTTTCATTGCTTTTACGAAAGAGTTGATTTTCAAAGGCTTCTAGCTAACCCTTCTGGAAAGCAGAACCTCTAATTACTTCTTAAACACCCTTAGAGATACTTTTTCTGTTTTTAGGCCTGCTTTCTCCCCTATTTCCAAAGTTACCTTTTGGAGATACTACATACTAGGTGTAGCTTCGTTGCTTCAGTTCCTGCTTAGGATCAGTTTTCTTGGGTCTGCTCAGTCATTTCCATGGGTCCTTCTTGGAAGCTGTATCCCAGCTTCCAAAATTTTGTAGCAGTTAACTCCTTTTCTATCTTCTTTGTCCTTTATCACTTAAAAAAACGTCTTAACTCTTATATCAATGGGTTTTCCGAGGGAACAGAGTTCAATGAATGATATAAATATTTAATGTGTATTTGAGGGTCAACCCTTTAGCTGTTAGCTGCTTTATTGTAAGTGACCTGAATTTTCTCCACACCAGCATTTTTTTTTTTTTTAATGATCAGAAGGCTTATTTACTATCAGGGATCCAGATACCTGGCAATATCCTAAATTTAACTAAAGATAGTGCTTATATTATCTTTTAAATTTAGGCGTGGAATTTGAACATCTTTGATTCAAAATGAGAATAGGCAGCTGCTTCCAAGTCTGTTCATTACTTGATTTTCCTTGGAGTAATGGTTCTCAAACTTGAGCATGCACCAGAATCACCTGGAAGTGATTGTTAAAATGCAGATTCCTGAGCTCCATCCCCAGCGTTTCTGACTTAGGAGTCAGAGGTGAGACCCAAGAATTTGCATTTTCAACAATTTCCCAGGTGATGCTGATGCTTCTGGTCCCAGGACCACAGTGAGAATCACTACCTCGGTGTGTGGAATGTAAAGGTGTTCCCTTTGGAGATGGGGAGGACATTTAGGAAGCAGATGAGAACAGAGAGGGAGAGAAATAAGAGAGAGATAAGCAGGGAGGAGAAGGATGTGCCCACTTGCTCTTATCTCATTGCTCCCAGCTCGTGGCCCCTCTTCTGTTTTCCTTCTCTCTCTGCACTGATAAAATCATGACAAAATTTACTTAGAAAAGAGGCTCTTGGCATCAGAATTGTAATTCTATTCAAGGAAAAAAAAGGGGGAAACAAAGTGACTGTGCATGAAAAACCTTAAACTGAAGCCCTGCAAATGTGTTTGTAAAATGGTTGGGGAGTATATGCAGGGTCTAGAGAAATCAGTCCTTAGTAATTTTATGAGACGCACCAGGTTGAGTATTGCTAAGACAGCAGGATTCTAGGCAGTTTTGTTAGGTAGTCACTTGTCCGCAGGTTTCAGATATCTCCTAGGATTCTTCTAGGATCCCCCTTGTTCCTTGTTGCAAGTATGAGAAGGCAGGGATACTGTCTAAGCCACATAGGCAGAGAGTCAGACCTAGTGGCTGGTTTGGGTCACAGGAAGGAGGAGCCCAGACTTAAGGCCATTCCTCTGGGCTATTTTCATGCAGCCATTTGGAGATTCTGCCATAATTGTCTCATGTTTAGCCATGTTTTTGGTTCTCAGAATGTTCTGTAGTATGGTTGCAAGAGAAATAAAATTGTGGCTGCCAAAGACAGTATCCCAAAGGAGGGCGGGAGTCGGGAGGGAGACAAGAGAGGTGAGAACTCCGAGCCCTTGCCCCGTGTGAGGCTGCCTTGGAGACACTTTATTACTTAAAATGCAATGCACCTGGCTAGTTCCTGCTATCACTTCGGAAAGGGAGGAGCTGGGAAGAGAGGAAACAGATTCTGGACGGATAGATGACAGGAGAAAGCAAGTTGTAGGAGACTAGGTTTACCTCTAACTTGTCACTTCCTTTCTTAGGACTGTTGTGGTGTCGTTGTTGTTGCCTTTAATCTATAAAATGATGGTTTGGTTTTAGATAACTCCCAAAGGTGCTTCTATCTTCGGTATTCTGTGATTTTTCCAAGATCACCTCTTATATCTTTTGGGAAGCCAGAGTAGGAAACCAAGTCTCTTGACTTCTAAGATAGAGCTCAGAGCACACAGAAGATTCAATCTTCCCTAAACCATGTGGTCCCAGAGGCCCCTTGTTATTTCCTGTTAGCGGTTTTCAATGGCTTTGGAGTAGAAGGAAGTTCATTGCTATGACAGTCAGGCAGCCACACTAGGGAAAATATGATGTATTGTGTTGTGTAGGAAAAAGTCAGTATTATCCAATCCAGTAATCAGATTTTCAGACAAAGGCACAGCCCTGGAACATGCTGTCTATGGCTGAGCATAGCATTAGTCTTGTCTCCAAAAGCAGTTAAAAAAAAATGTGTACTTGTCTTGTCTGTCTCTTTTGGATATGTAAATATATCTTGCCTGAAAATTTTTCTCATTCTTATTTTGGAGGCAACTAAATTGCTCTGAAGATATTAGTTGTAGCAGTAATTAATTTAGCATTTATTGAGCACCGACTGTATGCCAGGCTCTGTGTGAAATAATAGAAATATAGAGAAAAACTCTGAGGTAGGGGAATACATTTAGTGGGGGGAGGGGAGAGAAAGGCAAAAAAAAAAAAAAAAAGACCAATATTCATTTATCCATCCCTCCTTTTATTCCTCAGGAATTTGTTGAGCATTTGCTGTGTGCTCAGCTCTGCACTAGGTGCTGGGGATACGCAAGTGAATCAGACAGACACATTCCTGTGGTCCCTCAAGACCATGCCTCAAAGAAGCTTGGTGAACCCTCTAGTGGAAGAGGCCAGATTGGCCTGTGATGGGTGGATATATGGACAAGATCAAGATCCATGGAGGGCTTCCCAGAGGAGGTGACCTGCAAACTAAAACAAAAGTAGAAATGGGTGGTAGCCAAGGGAGGGAAAGGCAGAAGGACCACCTATGCCATGGCTGAACAGAGGAAGTGCTTAACTGGGTACGGAATGCGGGTTTAAGGAAGAACAGTAGGAAATGAGACTATAAAGGTAGGTGAGGTGGAGCCCTCAAAGATGTTTTATCTGTTGCTTAGGACTGTGGACTTCGACCTAAAGTGGTGGGGAAACCACTTAAATATCTCATAGTGGAGGAATTATTACAGGAAACGGCAACCATTTAAAAGGGCATAAAGATGATATAACTGTGTATATTTTAAGTAAAAGAAAAAGCAGAACATTAAAGTTGTGTGCTCACTGTGATTGCTGATATATAAAATATAATTGTGACTATGGCAAAGCGTAGGATGTCTAAGAGTAGAATCTATTCTTTGCATTGTGAGGTTCTTTAAGAATTCCTTTATAACATTCACTCAGCATCAAATCTCTACTCTGTGCCAGGAGATCAGGATACAGTCCCTCCCCTCTACCATCAAATATGGACGGATCGAATAACTTTCATGCAGTTTTTAAAAGTGTGTGATTATGAAACGTCTAGGCGAATCCGTAGAGACAGAAAATAGATTGGTGGTTGTCAAGGTCTGGAGGGAGGAAGGAATTGGTAGTGACAGCTAACAGGCCCAGGGTTTCTTTCTTGGGGTGATAGAAATGTTCTGGAATTAGTTAGTGGTAATGGTTGTACAACATTGTGAATATACAAAAAACCACTGAATTGTACACTTTGCCTAAAATGCTTAATTTTATGTTATGTGAATTTTATTTCAATAAAAAATACAGGAAGAAAAAAGATGCTGATTGATTTTTTTTTTTTTTTTTTTTTTGGTAGTGAAGGGCAATCGGAAGTGTGAGCTGAACTGCCAGGCAATGGGCTACCGCTTCTACGTACGGCAAGCTGAGAAGGTCATTGATGGAACCCCCTGCGACCAGAACGGCACGGCCATCTGTGTGTCTGGGCAGTGCAAGGTAAGTGCCCCTGGACTGGGGTATCTGGAGGGGATTCTCGGGGCGTTCGCTCTGTGACTGTGACTCCACTGCTTGCAGGCTGTGTCCTGCTACCACCCCCTAGCACGTGGTCCCCTTGAACCGTGAGCTCTGGGAGAAGTGGGCTGAGACAGAGCAGCTTTGTGCACTCTGTGTTTTTGATCTTTGGAAGTCACCATGTCTCCCTCTGGCATGTCAGTTATTAAGTGATTTGTGTTTACACCACGTGCGTCAAAAGGGACACAGTGATCTTTCCTCATTGGATCTGAAGCTCCTTCCTTACCTCTAAAGTGGAGGTTATGAAAAGGGCACTGCTGGCTCAGTCAAGAAACGGTTGGCGTCGTGAGGGTGGCATTTTAAGGGCATGGCGTATTTTATCTCGCCTCCCACCAGATGGGGCAGGCTTCCAAATGAAAGTTGTCTGGTGCCTTTTATAGCAGAAGTTGTACTTTAAACAGGCAGAGTTTGCAGCCTCCTTGGGCTTCTGAAGTCTGTTCCAGGAACTCCCCGCCCTGCATTCTGCAAACATTCTGGGCTTAAGAGAATCCTTGTGGGATGCTAACCTTCAACAGAAAGCACCATTTGGTTAAAAATAGGCGTCTTAGAGGAGATGGCACAAATTCCATCACCAGCCTCCTTTCATCTATAAATGTAATAGTGGACCTAAGACTCTAGCAGGTAAATGACTCTTTGGAGCCCAGACTAAGATTCTGTCTTAATTAACACTCAATAGCTGGCAGGACTGATTTTCATCAAAGGGAGAGCTCTTTGGCTATCGCGTCTGAAATCTGTTACACTTCGAATGTAAATTGCCACGATGTTTCGCGTGAGAGCGATTCAAGTGTGATTTATGAGCACAACCTTCCTCCTCCAGCCTTTTTTTAATGAGGAGGTTTCAAATAGAATACAAAATAACTTATCAAGGCAGCAGGGATATTCTCAGATTTTGAATCAAAGTTAAGAAAGGAAAAAGCAGTCATTTGATATCTGATGCGTGTGAGATGTCTTGGGAAAGGCAAAACCCCCGAAGAATTAGGACATGGTATAGAAGAGGCAGGGAGCATGATGGGAAGTATGCTGGAGGCTGAGACCTCTCTGGCCTCCAATTTTCCAGTCCTTTGGAAAAACCGCGGGGTTTCACTCATCCTCTCTGAACCTCACCATCCTCAGATAGTACCCAAGGGAGTTCTGTTCGAGTTTTGTGGTGTCCTGCTCAAATGGTCTCTGCTTCTAAATGTTACTGAGCCTGAAATGATGGACCTTACGGCAACCTAGCCTTTTCTTTCAGGTCTTCAATCAGCTGTTTTATTTCCCGAATATAGGTGCACACCTGGGAGGTGGTGTGGTGTGATGGTTAAAAACATGCCCTCTGAAACCAGACTTCCTGGGTTCAAATCCTGCCTCTTCCACTGATTGTGTGATCTTGCACAAATTATGTAAGTTCTCTGTGCCTCTGTACATCATCTACAACATGAGGAGGATAGTACCTACCTCCTGTGTCGTAGTGAAGAGTCATGAGCTAATACACGTAGGGCCCTTATAACAGGTCTGGCACTTAGTAAGTAAACATGTTGGCATTTATTAGTACTCTAATTGTTTGTGCCCACCTATGTTCTGTTGTATTTGAGTTTTCTATGCAAAAGCATTTGCTCTTTTTGTTGTTGTTGTTTGGTAGATTACAGATTTATGCGATTCTCATCACCTTTTGAGGCACGTTCTCACTCTGTAGTGTGAATCACTGGCGGATTGCAGAGTCTAATTTGGTAGGTCTGGGGAAGAGCCTGAGAGTCTGCTTTTCTTAGAAGCTCCCATGTGATGCAGATACTCCTGGTCCCTGGATCATACTCGGATCAGCAAAGTTTTAAAGGACACTTTGATTCAAATCTAGTTAACAAAGAATCAGAAATGTAAATATAGAGTGGTGCAGTGACTTGGGAGGAAGATGAAATGAGGTCTCTTTCCACTCGGGGAGCATGTTTTCTTAGGGCTGCATTAAGTGTCTCTGAGCTGATGATATGAAGGAAAAACAAACACTTATGAGGACATGGGTATAGATTCTTACTAATTGATGGAAACCATTCAGACTGTAGGGCAACACAGTCTTAATTGCCAAAAGACTGAGGCAAACATTCCCCAGGATGTGAGTAGATTAATAGGAATTTGATGTTACAAGGACCACTTTGATATTACTTCGTATTTGTTCGCTGTGCATTTGCCTGAAATTCGCTCATTGAAGTTGTTGGAACCACTGACTATCCCTGTCCTCTTTAGAACTTCACTTTAAATAATCAGAAGTACATTTGCTTCCCAGGCTGAAGTTCTGTTTACTCTGCAACTTCCAAAGGGTAAAGTGTCCTTTTCTAAATATTTGATTGGAGGCCCAGAATTCAAATTAATATCTCTACCTCCCTGACTTGTGGCTGAGGGAGCTGTCGCTCGCAGACGGTTCTTGCTAAGATGTGTGTCTGCATCTGAAATAGTGCCAGAAAGCTTCCACTGCCACATAAAGTTGAAAGCAAACCCAGGCCTGCAACAAAAATTAATGAAAGGTGGCAAGCATTAAATAAGTAGACGAGCTGAACCCACAAAAGAGTAGCTAATGGAGAGATCATCCTCCCCACACAAAACATAAGAAAGGCCCGAGGCCCTCCCAGTGCACGCTGGAAGGCTCTGTTCCAGCACCTGGCAGAGCACTCCCTGGCCAGCCTGTGTTTACCCTGTTGCTGGAGCTGCTCTCTGTTTTAGATCCAAGATTGGAAGAAGGGCAGGAAGAATGCAGACGGCCTTGGGCTGGGGGCTGGAGAAAATGGGGCTCCTTCTCCAGCCCCTCTGTGCTGGGTGATGATTCTTTTCTTTCTTCTTTTTTTTTTTTTTTTTGCAGGGAAAGATGCACCCTGAGCCATCTGTTGCCAGTCTTTCTCCCTGTTTTTTTTTGCTCCCCAAAGTCCCAGGATATAGTTGCATATGCTAGTTGTAAGTTGTTCTAGTTCTTCTATGTGAGCCACCGCCACAGCATGGCAACTGACAGACAGGTGGTGTGGTTCCAGGACAGGCAGGTGAACCTGGGCGGCCAAAGCGGTAAGAGCGCCGAACTTGAACCACTAGGAGATCAAGGCTAGCTAGACAATTCCTTTCTTGACAGGGACTGAAGGGTCCCAAATGTTGGCTTCAGGCTGAGGACTGCATGTAGATAGGCTTTGAAGGGAAAGAGCTCTGGGCCTGTGTTTTCCTAAAGCAAGAGAATGTAGCTGAAGCCCACAGAGACTCTTCCTTCCTCGTCCCAACCCCTTCCCTCTAGACATCAAATAGAAATGTCTGGCCAGAATTCAGAGACACTTCCAGCTCTATCCAGTCATTATTGTCATTTATGGGAATGAAATAGCATTTATGACTAATTAACAGAGAGCACAGTAATAATTTCTATCGTTAAGCACAAGGTTACCTGTGCTGTGATTTTTTTCACTTGATCTCAGCTTTAAACTCTAACTAAAAAATTCCGAATTTTCATAGCTTGATGTGTATATATTATTTTTGATCACAACTTAATAAAAATAGATGAAACTTTGCCTTCAAAGGTATAGGAGGCAGGGTCACTTGAGTAAAGATGATGAAAAGAACAACCTTCGCTCCCTGGAGACCAGCCTTTCAGAAACCTCAGGCTTCCAGACCTGACTGATCCTGAGAGAGTCAGAACCACCCCAACACCCACCCTCCTCCCCTTAACAAAAGTCTTTGGTGGTGAAGGAGCAATCCTTGAGGAAGTACGTTGCAATGAATAGGCTAATGCAAAACCTCGAAGTAGGAAGGGGTTGGAGCTGATGCAAGCTAGTAAGGAACCATTTCTGAAAATTTACCGCATGCCGGATGCTGTGTTATGTGCTTTATTTACATACCAAATTATTGCATTGATTCATTTATCTTCACAATAACTTGATCAGTAGGAATTATGAGTCCCCGTTTCACAGGGAACTATTGTGAAGATGAAATGAGTTGGACAAACTAAATGCTACATAGGAGTTGACCATTAATATTGGCTATTTAGGATGTACTATTAACTGGAACAGAAAGAATAGATTATATGTGATGGGAAGAAACCCATGTGCTTTGGGTCTCTCCCCTATTCTGAGTTTATTTTTCTCACTGATTCTTTCCAAAACAGAGTGTCTTTTCAAAACACACATCAGGACACACCTCTGTTTTGCTTAAAGTCGGTCTGTGGATCCCCATTGCCTATGGAATAAATTCTATGGATCCCCATTGCCTTCATCATCTGTCTTCTGCCAGGCCTCCCTGGGCCCCCAGTGCTGGCCAGGCTGGGACATGTTCCTCCCTGACCCAGCAGGCCTGTAGGGTTGTCCCTCCATGAGGATGTACACGCTGTCCTATCAGCCTGGAGTGCTGTTCTGTGTCCACTCTTGATCCACCCAGTGGACTCTGCTTAAAAGCCACTGACTTATCCCTTGAGTACTGTTCTATTCTTCTGTTCCTGCTTCTTATAACTATGTTCCCGTCCCCCCCGCCCACCACCCAGCCACACTGGGAGTAATTCCAGGCACTTTGCTTTAACAAAATGCCTACCATTTGAATAGGTGCTTAAAAACTTGTGTAAATGAATTAAGGTACTTGATGACTCAATTTGTTGGATTTCAGCAAATGAAGTTAGTCTTGAATCCAGCACAGAGTTTTCTCATTGTTGGCTGGGATGGGCAGTTGAGTGCAGATAAAAGGAGGACACAAAGCCCCCTTGGCCAAATCCCCAGAACCCAAGGCCTTGAAGGTCTGGGAGAATTCTTGGCACCTCCCCAAGCTCCTGTCTCCTCATCTTTTTTTTCAATTTTACTCACTCTGAATTTCTTGAGTCCCTTCAGAGCATATGATAGAAGAACCTAAGCAAGTGTGAGGGTGCATGCTCTCATGGTGCCGTCTGAGGGGAAAGAACCCCCTTCTGCCCACCAGCCTTCCCCCTCTCATCCCTAGTGGGT